GAGCCAAAACATAAGTAGAATGGACCTAGGAGAAAGGCAAATGCCTTGCCAATCCAACTTCACTCCTCTCTTCTTTTGTGATCAACACTAAAAGTAAAACATGCAAAAAAGGCTGCAATGCTGAAAGTAGCCATAGATAGATAAGCAATAACCCACCCATACATATTGTATACATTATCCTTGCTGGTAGTTATATGGAACAGCCTGTTGGTAGCCAACACCTCCCATTGGTGCACGTGGATTTCCGATATAGGGGCTAGGTGACCTTAATCGTCCTATTAGAAATTTCCACAAGAAAATCAAACAAAGACATAAGCAAGATTAGATTGAATAAAAATTATATGGTATGTATCACAAAAAGAACATCATCCCATGAAACAGCATACACAGCATAACTCTCATATAACATTAAACAAAGACCATATGCGCACAAAAATATCTAAAAGCTCGCCATGGAAGCAGAAAGATATAGACACAATTCATTTCGTAAGACTGTTGTCAACCTATCCAGTTATTATTCATAAAAGTAGTTTTAAAGATCCATAACACCTCCACCCATGAGTCATACTACAGAAGAAAGCCATTAGGCTCAAACCAAAGCACCCAAATCAATCCTTAAATGCACACCTCCAAAGCACCTTCAGTTGTTCTCCCCTCCCAAAACCAAGCCAATTCACCTGCATATGGCACATCGGAAAACAGAGCATAACCAAAATGCCCCATCATAATAAAAATAAAAACTAGACCATAAAGCATCAGACACTTCTCAATGAAGAGACGAGAGCCTATTTTGCAACTTCTTAACAGACAAAACAAATACTAGGCAACAAATCTCCATCACGACGCTGCACCAGAAGATTACTAAGAGTGTTGGACTAATCCAAAAAAAATGCCTGAACCTTCATAAGAATCACCACCTTCCAAATGAAGTTGGAAAACACGGAAAACTGATGTTTAGAACTAGTGTTTGAAAAAAATACTTATGAAAACTATTACCAGAAAGTCCATAATAATCAACAAGCAAGCTCTACAATGATCTTTCTTCAAAAGAGAGGCTACATTACTTGATTTTCCTTATCCTACATTCCATGTTCCATGATAATAAGAGGTCTTTTGGACTATGAAATGTTAAATCGGATTGTAACATATGATAGAGAAAGGAAAAAGAGGGCACAAGAATCCTCCCAAAACACCACAGTAGATTAAGGATTACCCACTAAAAATTCAAACAGGGAAACTAAAAAAGAATTACTTTGAAACAGACTTCCATGAGCATAGACAGGATAATCCACTGCAAGGCAAAGTATCCCAATAACTCATGTTTAGACTAAAATATAAACCCCTTTAGGTGCCGAAGAGGGACAAATTCCAAAGATGAAGTCTAAGGCATTTCAACATCACACTACCAAAACCTAGACCCTTTTCCTCCTTTGGCCAACATACGAAATCTTAAGCTAACATTTGATCCCTCTTATACCAATCTACCCTACCACGCCCCTCACCCCCAAACTGATAAAAAAAAATAATAATAAATAAAAGCCCTTATGATCCTAAATTTGTAGCCACAAGAATTAATACATAATACTTTAATACACAAAGATAGTAAAGAAGTATACATGAAAACAATACTCAACAAGATCCTTCTGAACCACACAAAAAACCAGGCAACCCTCCACCTATACACTTCTTAGAGAATTTCTCAATGACCACAGCCCAAAAAGAAAGATGCATAGAGTTCACCCTTTAAGGAACCCCACTGTGTTTAAATGACCCACCCATGAGACAAAAGAATGGATACATCACCCTTAGACACAGGACTTAGACTTAATGAGTTTAATGCAGCTTCTAGTGATGGGCACAAAAGGCTAGAGCAGGTAGGCACATTTGCTAACTAAAGTTATAATCCAAAACAAAGTGAATAGATCGCCAGAATACATTCATCATTTTGACTTTCACACTAGCCAACACATTACTTTGATCATTTACAACTTTAATTACACATTTGAAAAGCTATAAATTTGATATTTTGAAAACATACATTGAGATTAACCCAACAACAATTATAACAATGACTTTATCATCACATCAAGTAATAAAATGGGAAATACGTTAGTGTATAAATAGTGTTCAAACACAAAAAGGTGCAAGTATTCGACAAATTCCTACCTGGCTCCCCCCCCCCCCCTAAAACCCTCCCTAAAAATATTAGACACAACATGCCAAGAAAACGTTTTACTAACTACATAAACCACGCTTCCCCCTAAACAACACACATAAGCGACAGAAAGGCATCCTAAATTTTGTGGTCTCTAGTGATCCAAAACCATTACACTTTAAAAGCCTATCTATAAACCTGCTAACATAACGGGTCATAAATCCAATTTCAATATTACCCCACCCACCCTCCCCCAAAACCTCCTAACATATTCTGCCACCTTGTTTGTAACTAAAATTGCTTCCACAAACACATTATTGTTCGAAAATGCAAACCAAAAAGAATTTGTTTAAACCTTTGAAATAATTTTATACACACTAGTCAGATAACTTATGGGCTGAAAGTCTCTCACATTCTACTACTTTCCTTTAGTGATCAACTTACCAGGAAAGAGTTTCAACTTCAATCCTCTTGGCTTCTTTTAAACAAAAAAAGCATAATTCTGACACTAAAAAGATAAAGTTTACCCAAAAGACCAGAATTCATTTAAAAGTTACTTGCTCGTGAAAACTCACTAGCAACACTCAACAATAAATGGTGTCGATAATCAATATCCTTGTACTTATTTCTACACAATCAGTAGCTATCAGGTATAGGCTAAATGTATAAAAGATCATTTTACAGACTTCAAATCTTTTGAAAGCAGGCAACTATCAAATGCAAAAAAGGCTCACCCAAGTTTCATTACAATTCTTGAAGCATTCACATGCCCTGAATCCTCAGAACACCCAGAAACGCCAGTCCAGAGTGACAATGAAGACATTTCATGCTTCAAAATGACTAGAATTCATTGTAAATCATTTTTAGAACAAACGTGTACCTCACACAGATTATTTATTTGCCACCCAAAAAGGAACCTTAAAACATGATGCCACCCTTCTCTCTTTTGACTCTATGTCAACAATTCCACATAGGTCTCAGCTACTAAGCTAATTCTGGAGAATATCAAAGTCTCAGCAGTCGATCAAATGAAAAAGATAGTCTCAGGGGCATGCCCGGAAGAGGTTCAATGCAATTGCATGTTAAGCTTGAGCCTGAGAGGGAGAAAGACAGAAAAAGGAAGGAGGGGGTTGCTTTGTGGGTCGACCAAAAAAATGGAACTACATATGTCATTCAGGAAAAGATGGAGGTTACAAAAATGCGCATGTTAAGATGGATGTGCGGGAACACTCTAAGATATAGAATCAGAAATGAGGTGAGGTTATTGCAGACAAACTAAGGGAAAATCTCCTACGTTGGTTTGGGCATGTAAGACGGAGATCCGAGGGTGCACCGACATGAAGAATGGGACCATGTAGGGGTTAAACAAAGGAGAAGGAGATCGAAAATGACTTGGTTGGAAGGAGTTAGAAAGGATATGAATCATATGGATTTGCATGAAAATGAGGCATTTGATCGTAAGGGATGGAGGAGGAAGATTTTTGTGAATGACTATACGGAATAATCACTTTTGGTTCATGTAACCGACCCTACTTATGGGATTAAGGCTTTGATTGATTGATTGATATGTCATTCACTCCCTAAATAAAGTAGGATATGATCTATGAATGAGATTGTAATTAAAGGATGCGCTATTATTGAAATTTCACACCAAATATCAATTAATTTAAACGAACTTATTATTTTTACTTATCTGTTACCTACTCTTCTATGACTTTTGTTTCCGTTCTATTTCCATTGATCTCTTTGTTCCCATATTCAATCTCTGATTTATCTACACAACTGATAATAGCCAACAAAACAAGCTACCAGTTTACCACGCCAATGCTATTGTGCCATAATAACAAGTAAGGTGTGGTCTACTATTCTAACACAAGCATTATTTAAAAAGGGAATTTTTGCAACACTTAACATTGGCTCAAAGAAGACCAAACCTCATATATATGTAATGTAAAAATATAGAAATCCTACCAATATGAAGGGAGGGTGTTGTAAATCTAGAAAATTAAGTAGATGTTATAAAGTCGATCACTCAATCCCCCCCCCCCCTCAAAAACAGTGAGCACTATTCTAATGCAAGCCAATAAACTTAACTAGCCCGCTAGTCATAGTGATCTGACAACAGCGAAGCAAAACTAGGCAATGGATTTTACATATAACTATATTCTAGCACATTTCACAACTATCACATAATCTTCAAATCAGCTAAACAAGGACAAAACAAGATGTCAAGTATAATAAAGTCAGTCCCTGGATATCCAAAGAAACCAGTGGTTTCTACACTTAACAACAGCTGCACTCACCTGTTTACCCAACTCTATCTCTTTGAGAGCTTGCTAGTTGATGCTGGTTCAATATGCAAACGATTAAACAATGAAGACCGCGAGGAAAAATATATAAATCACAGCTCAATTACCACCCAACACAATACATATACTATCAAATATAGGATACCACCAACAGACGACTCTCACGGTTCATAGAAGCTCAAAACTCAAAAAATCCCATGCCAAGTAAAATTCAACTGATAGGTGTAAGCTTATAAGAACGTTAACCATTGTGTTGAAGCAGAGAGAAGCAAATGAAATGTTTTGTAAAAGCAACACGACACAAACAAGATATGCTACAAAACATGCAGAAATAAGCAAAAAATACCAAATGAAAGAGCAGGTCGAGGTCGTCCAAGTGAAGCTAAATTACAATTGGCACGCCGCCCATCAATTATAGGCGTTGGGTCTGCGCAAGCTCTCCTTGCAGATTCCGGGTCCCGAAAAGTCACCTATACCCTCCATAGGAAGCACACAAAACACAAGCACAGTCACTTCACAATCATACTCTTTTATCATGAAATTTTACTTATAAAGGATACATGCTGGCCAATTTTAGTCTTAACTTTACTCGACCATGCCACTTTAATCGGCCACATTTGATCATAACACAATTATACAGAAAGATAGAGAAATACTCACAAAACCATAACCCTTGGAACGACCAGTATTCTTATCAGTGATAACAACAGCTTCAAGAATCTCCCCAAAATGCTCGAAATACCGACGCATCGTCTCGCTCTGAGTCTCCCAAGCAAGACCTCCAACAAACACCTTCGTGTACGTTGTGTCTCCGAACTGCGAACTCAAATATGGCAAACCCGAACCCGAGCTCGACCCCGATCCGGGTCGACCCGGAATCGGCTGATATGCCATCAATTTTTTGGTAATTGATTGATTGATTGATCACCAGAATAATTTCACCCAAATGATATAATTATTCAAAAAAAAAGGGGGGGGGGGGAGAGAGAAATTAAAAGCTCAAAAATTCGAAAAAAGAAGAAACAAAACCCTAGAAAAACCCTAGAAATCCCCGGAAGAAAGGGGAGAAATTATCCAATCAAAGCAGAAGGTGGGTATTAAGGGATGAATCAAAATTATGTCTTTTGAAGAAAAAGCAGATGACTTTTAATAATTAGAAGAGACAGAAAACGGGAAATTTTGAATTATTAAAGAGAAAAAGAATTCTTGTTAACAAGAGATGGGACAGGGGAGAAAGAAGAAAAAAGCAAACCCTAAAAATGGAGTCAAACAAAGTCAAAAGAGAGAGAAAGTTTCAGAGGAAGAAGATGATTTGAAATTTATTTACAGAGAAATAGGGGATATACACAAGAGAAGAGAAGAGAAGAGGAGAGAGAAAGTGTTGAGGAATTATGAAAATGGTAGTAATGGAGAAGATGGAAGGAGAAGTGGGACCCTTACACGCAACTTCCAGGTTGTTTGTTTTTTTTTTACCGGGAAAATTTGGTGTTATTGTGGCGGGCAAATTGAAGCCCAGGTAGTTAGCTCACTTGCTTTTTTGAACTGGATATGGACTGGGTTGACACGAGTTTCAGTAAAAATTAGTATGACAATGAATATTATATTATTACATACTCCTTCTTTGGAATAATTTAAACACTTTTAGCATGTAGTTAAGGAAAAAAAAAAAAAAAAGGATGGTGATCATAAAAATGAGTAGTTAAATGTAACATTAATGAATTTGTTTTATATTGTTATCAAAGGCGAGTATACTTTAACATTAACAATGGAGTCCCTTGTCATTATGTTAACGTGTTAATTATTTAAAACGTCCTATAGACAATAATAGGTCAATTATTTAGAAACGAATAGAATATTATTTGACCAATTTACAAAAATGATAATATGATTAAGAGAGTTTGCTAACAGGACACAACCCAACACGGTATGACACATGAATCTAGTTGTGTTTAGATTTCGTTAAGCTTGGTACGTCTTATCTTTTTCTTAATCTTAAGTACGAACACGAAAATCGATGTTATATAGCCCCATTCGTGCCCAGCTCTAATTGTCTTGTTGTGTCTAATAAAATAAACTAAGCAAGTAGGACAAAATGGAATTGAATAATTTGATTAATAAAAGTGGAGACTGGAGAGAGGGATAGAATGAGATTGATGGTGATGATGTGATGTGTGACGGCAGACACTTAGCCACTATGAATAGGCGAAATTCGTCGGCTTGTTGAGTTTGTGATTATCATCCAAATTCCCATATTCCGTCTACTCCAACTATCCGCTACTATTTCTATATTTGCCCCTTTTTGTCTAATACAAGTACGACTAATGCTCAAGGTTTGTACTCGGTATATGCTACCGTTATAACAGTGTGACTTTTACACTATTTATATGTTTATTTTGACTTTATTTTTAATCAATTTATATAAAAATATATATATATATATATGCCATGTAATATATTTTTGGATTAGTCCTTACGTATATTTTCATTAGATCAAGCTTTTATATTTTTTAATAATATATAATTACAAATATTAATGGTCAAAGTTGTGCATCGGCATGTGTGTCGGTTAGAGTGTTGCGATTATTATGAAACGGAGGAAGTACTGATGGATTTTTCGCTCCAAGTTCGGGTTAGGTTGTACGGAATACTATTTATTTTAAAATAAGTGCCCAATTTAATTGATATACTCCCTCCGTATTTAAATAAATAAAACGTCTTTCTTGTGCATTTATGTCAATGCAGTACTTTGATTGATAATCTCTTTAATTATAAATAAGTAAAAATTATAACAATTGAATATATTAATAAACACGTTCCAACAAGTACCCACAAAGATTATATTTATTCTTATGTATATAAATCACAAACATTGATAAAAGTGAATTAGATGAATAATGCAAAATGTCAAAATGTTTCATTAATTTAAACACAGAGGGAATATGTAACAATGTGAAATATGATCAATAATAAACTAAGTATTTATGAGTCAAAGTAGTAAATAAGGCAAAAGTTGAATTGAGACCTTTATTTTGAAACTACGGTGGCTAATGCGTGCGATGCGTGCGCATAAATATTTGCACACTATTCTTAAGAGCTTAATAAAATAGTCAACTAACATTAAAGAGAGCATATAAGTAATAAACAATTAAAAGAGTATAATTGTCAAAACACTATTTATAAGAGTTAATAAGTTATTACATACTTTTTTAAAGGTAGGTAGGGAAGAAAAAGAAAAACAAGTCAAAAAGCTACGCTACACATCAGTGGTGGATCCAGAAATTTATAAATGGAGGATCCAAAATAAACTTCAACGATCATACCACCATACAAAACAATAAATGTCAAAAGATACGTCACCAAAATTACTAATCATTTTCATAAATAAAAACCACATATAATAATAGGGAAAACAAACTAAAATAAAATAAAAAATTACAATTGTTCTCATCATCACCAAAGTAGTCCGAACACCTTTATCGATGGCAAAGAGGCATTGGCCGGCGGCAGCAAAATTGGCAAACAGAATCCTAAATCACAATATGCTGGTTTTGTTTCTTGAGTTGTTGAGAGAAAATAAAATAAGGAGCTTTGTGAAAATGGAAGAATTATTTTTTTCAATGACTACTTAATTGTTCCCCTACCTCACGTGATAACCAAGAATTTTATTCCAAAAAAAAAAAAAATTTAACTAATTGTCTTCATGTGAACCGAAGAAGCCAGGTGCTATGGGTTTATGGAAATATTTGGGCCTTTATCTTATAATATCATATAATAATGGGAGCGCATATTTATGGGCTTTTTTTTTTTTTACTTACATGAGCCTATGAACTTGATTTACTTTTTTCAAAAATGGGATGCGGATGCTCCCTATGCGGGCTTTATAGGTCCGCCCATGCTACACATGTGGTAAAAAAAAAAAAAAAAGGTTAAAATGGCACATATGTAATTCGCATGCATAAATAGGGGTAATTATGTAAATAGACAAGGGATATAATTGCCATAACACTATTCATAAGTGTTTAATTAAACTTTTAAAAAGGTAGGGATAAAGGGGAGTATTTAAGTATGATAACTTTTTGATAGAACATGTCATATATGAGAAAATTTCAATATAGATCAAGCTCGTGTTCTTCCATGGATCAATTTTGGGTTTATTGAAATATACCTTATTGTTTGAATCAAATTTGCTTCAATAATATGAGATATCGTCTAATTTATTCGAGTCGAATCTGATCAATTTTAGGTCGGATTAACTTATGGTCATCTTGTGTCAAAAAAAAAAACTTTGAGCCATCTAATCTTAGACATGGTTGGATTCAAATGAAGTCAAGTTCATGTCAACTTAGTTTTCAAATCACTCTGTATCGAAGGTGACTTGATATGATCAATTTGAATCTCGTTGTTTTAGGTCCAAACTATCAAAAGGGTCGATTGTTTTTAGTCCATGATATTTTTACCTTTCCCAACTTTCTTGAATATGTATCCCTGGCTCCCTACAGATCCACAAGAATCACAACTACTATATATAACCTTAGATCATCAAAAATCCTCCCCATTTAACTGAAGAAATTAAGAAAGATGTAGCAATATTCCCAAGTGCTCATCCATTACACCCTGTCACATTATCTTCCCAAGTGCTCGTCCAAGTAAACTATTAAAGCTATGGGATGTAGCAATACTCAAGATCTTAAATCAAATTTCATCGGTGAATGAGGCATTAAAATGACATTACACATGAATACCTAACTAAAGATTTTAAAAAGGAAATCAACAAAACATATTTTCACAGGGATGTATTTGGACACAAAATCATGTAAAGATTCTGAAACGTCTTCATGTCATGAACAAAAACTACAGCAATTCAATTCATACATAGAGATGACAAATACGACATTTACTATGTCCCTATATAGACAGCCGATAGTTTGAAGACTAGAAAACAATTGTTTTCCTGCCATTACATGCCAATGGAATACCTCCAACCTAGAAGTCCCAACTTTTTGTAGCTCTCCACTGAGTCTACTAGAGTTTCCTCCAGTGGTCTGTAACTCCAACCAAGCTTCTGTAATTTCTCCGAACTAACACTGTCCCCATCAGCAACCTCAATCAAGCTGTTGAAATAACAAGGAACAGTTGGTCAGGGCAGTGATGTATTTAATCAATAACAGAATTAAAACTCTTCTCCTCAACCTAGCTTTGGTAACTGTACGCTAAATCTCAAAATTTTGACAAACTACGATCAATGTCAACGAGCTTTGACCTTCTAAGGTCAAATGGGGCCTATAATTTTTGAATTAAAGTAGAATTCCTGTTGGCGCTTTGGGAGCATAGCATGTTCATCATACAACACTTAAAAGTAGAAGGCAGCACATCTAATACAATTCAGAAGAAGTGTTCATCCCAGTACCTTATAGCTAGTCAAAGCGGGTAACAGAACATCATGGGAAGTAATAAACGAAAAGAGAAGACAAGGAATTTACGTTTTTGGATAATTATAGTGGGGATAAATGCTTGTCAACTTGTCCACCAGTTCCTTCACTCTAATTTGATGTGATGAGCATATATATCTCCCTTCTGCCTCAGGCTTCTCAAAGACCATAAGCAAGGCAGCGGTCAGGTCACGCACATCTACTATCATCCGAAGCTTGTTTTCTGTTGATTCATATCCTTCTGCCATCTCATCAATAGTAGACATGGTTAGTCTTTCTCATAACAAGGGAAACAAAACGGAGTCTAAAACATGGGTTTTGTAACATATCCAGCAGAACTACGTAAAAACATAAAATAAGCCAGGAATATAGCAACCCCTTAGCACTTGGCTCCATTGCCCTATATTAATTCATGCCTTATCTCTATGTAGGCCAAACAAGAAGGTATTTGATTCCCTTATTCCAGAGCATTCATGTGTCGCCTCATCTTAGATTGATATGGAACCCACATGAAGCATATCCTTAAATATTCTGCTTGAGTAGGCTACACCAGCAACTCATCGTTTAGAAAGATTTGTGACACTAGATCAAGAAAATTTTCTGCTAGTCTGTTTGAAGTGTCACAACTCTGATGAATTGCTATGTGGGTAAAAGTGCATGGAAGGTAGTCAAACTATACATCCTAATTTTATTTTTTCAGATCTATATCTTGGACTGCCTATAATTTAAGCATTTTAGCCACAAGAGGATTTAGTTAGTAATTGTAATACCCCGTAGTTTTAAAACATATTATCTAATTAATTAATTAATATTTTCTAAAAAGGGTATCTTAGTAATTTATTTTACTATTTGAATTTTGGAGCCAAAATGATATTTGAATTTTGGCGCCAAATACATTTTAAAACTCAATAATTATTTTGGATTTTGGATAAGATTTATTATCCATTTATTTTATTTTAAAAACCGGATTATTTATATATTTCGGATGTTTTAATTAAAGCAAAAACTATATTTTATTATTTAATTAATAAGGTCCGAAAATTCCTAACTATTGACTAAGATTTTCGGATTTTTCTAGTGTGGAAAATCTGATTTTCTAGGTTAATTTATTTAGTGAATAATTGGTATCTTTTTAATTAATTATTTTATACAATAAATATTATTTACACGATTATTTTTAATTCCTTAAATCTAGCAAAATAACTCCTTAAAATATACTAATAGGATCCGAAAATTTGTGCTATGGAAGCTCAATATTTTCGGCCCTCATGGTCAAATTTTGGGTGATTTATTTTGGAAAATTGTATTTTTAATTATCTCCTTAAAATCTCTTATTTTCCTTAATTGTATTTCTCCATCTCCTAAATATTTGATCATCTTATTTTCTTACCTTATATCTTCCTTGACTATTCCCCAAGTAATCTTTTTTGCCATATTATTTTTCATGACAACACACTTTCCTTAATTCTATTATTCTTAATCACCTTAATATCAAAACTTTCCATGTTTCTTTCATTCTCTTCTCCAAGTAATTCCTTAATTCTCTTTACCATAATTCTTCCTACATTCTCCTACCATAATTCTTACATGAGCTAACCTATAAATACCCCCTCATACCTCTCATATTCTTCACACCAAAAACTCAATTATCTTCTTCTCTTTTACTCTTTTTTTCCCTCAACCTTTTCCTACTTTTCTTTTCCTTTTTTTCTAAAAGAAAATCTGCCCGTATATCTTTGGAGCCAATTTTCGGGCACTTCTAGTCCAAGTTCTGCCTATTCTTTCCAATGCAAATTCAATTCTATTTAATCCTATTCTTTTATTTTCTTCATGGTTAGTTTTCTAAAATATAAATATCTATTTCAAATTTATAATTTTATATTAAAGGATTATTTTAAAAAGAGTTTTATAGTCCATGCACATTAGATTTGGGTTTATGTCTAAAGATGTTGTGATCGATAACCTTATGGTTATGTTAATTGCAAGGTGTATTCGTGATTGAACTTTGAAAGTGCGAAGTGTTGATTGATATTCGGAATCAAGGTACGTTTAGGTGGCTAGATAGCTTTGAAATTGATTGGATTGAATAAGCATGTTTGAGTGATTTTTATGATGATTGAATTGAATTATGGTTTATAAAATAAAAGCATATTTAAATAATTGGTTTTGATAAATAAATTAAAGGATTGATTTTAATATCATGTTTTGAATGGTTTGAAATTATTTATTAAGTTTAAAGGAATTTGGTTTAAAAAAAAAGTATGTTGGATTGTTTTACAGAGTTTTTAAAAAGGTTTTTCAAAGGAAGAGTTATTGATTTTGAAAAGTAATTTATATGAGATTTAATTCTCAAGTATTTATTAAAAGGTTGATTTTGAAAGCACGTTGAATTAAATAAAAAGGAGTTTTGAGTTAACCTATTCTAAAGGTTGTTTTTATTCAAAGAGGAATTTTATTGAATTATTATTAAAGCTTTACAAGCATGTTGTTAGTAATCCCACTATGCGGATTTGGTTGATAAGACTTAGGACTTTGTATGACCGAGTCTTTCCTTAAGAATAGCCTTGCAATATAAGGAGACTAGCTTAGGGAGTGTGCACACTTGGGTGAGGAATTGGTTTTAAAAAGAGGCATTGGTTTTATTGAATTGATTATTGAAATATTGAATTATTGGAATTGGTTTTATAAATCGTTTCATCGAATTATTGAATTATTGAGAATTGGTTTTGAAACATGAGTTTTGGAATTCATTGGATTAATTATTGGAATTGGTTTTAAAAGCATGTTTGCAAAGAAATTGAATTTACTTATCTTGCACTTATCGTACTTATCATATTTTGCTAATCCGTATTTCCTACTTGTTTTGGTTTGCCCTGTTTACCGTGATGGTAAGCAGTGCTGACTATTTTTAGGTGGAGTCATGAATGAGCATATGGGAGTCCTAGGATTTGCTTCACTTAGTTTAGGAATGTTGGTCTTGTCTTTATTTTGAGTACTCATAACAATGTTACTGTTTTTATAAGTATTAATAAAAGAAAGTTGAGTTTCCGCTGCAAGTTTTGTTATTAAGTTAAGTATTTTGAGTAGTCTTGCGTAATCACGCGGCGGTAATACGCCTAAGTCTATCTCTACTATATAATTATACATATTATACTAGTATTTCCGTAGAGGGAGATTTAGGGGTGTTACAGTAATGCCTTCTACAAGACAGAAAGAGATTCACATGAAGCTCCAAAAAAATTTGATTATGAGACCCAAATTTAGATACCTTTAGCTATATAGCATATCACTGGAGAGATATGCAAACTGAGATTTAGATTAGTTGCTGGATACTACTGCTATTATTTAAGAGTATATGCTTCAACCCTTAGACTGTTATTTTCAGGACTTCAAATACTCAAGATACTTATGTCAAGCAATACTGTAACACCAAAGGGAGGTAAGCACCAAAAATTTATGGACCAAAAGAAAGATACTGCCAGTAATCCATGCGAGGAAGCTCAGCCGTGCGTTACAATAGGTTTTACCTGCTTTGTTATTTCTCTCAGATTACAAGAAAGGGAATACTTATAGCTCTATGAATACCAATATGTTCAAAAATTAATTTTGAGTTGGTATATAAAGAATACAAACAAGACGAATAAGTGCAGCACTTTCACCAGTTGCCTCAAGATTCAATGAAAAGAGGCTGATAAATTCATGAAGATAGAAGCAGTATCGCAAATAACAGTTGGCAAAGTGAGAAAAAGATTACCTTTAAGAAGCTTAATGAGCACCAAGCTACTTGCATTGGCGTTTGATTGCATCATAGGACCCAAAACAAGGGTCGGACAAACTGATACAACATTAAGGCCACTTCTTTTAGAATATTCAAAAGCTTCATTTTCAGCTTCTGTTTTAGAAGCGCAGTACCAATTCTGCAACAGCAACAATAGGTGGTCAAGAGATAATGAGAAGCTGTTAAATCATGGCAAACGACATAAAAGATAAATCACTGCAATGAAAGATATAGAATTTCAAATTGTCAATACATACGTTAGTTCTTTTGCAAAATTCAATGTCAGACCAGCAATTTTCATCCTTGACTTGATCAGTTTGCCAATCCGGGTTCATGAGAACAGCAGCAACAGATGATACATAGACAACTCGCTTTACTTTTTCTTCTGAAGATGCTTTGAGCACATTTAGTGTGCCCTTCACTGCAGGTTCCATCAGCTGGACCTGTATGTTCATACACCAACGACAAGCAATAAAAAGGCAGAGATATGGTGTGAGAGCAGCATATATATGTTGTGTTATGAAAAGAATCAAGATAGCAACAAGCTGATAGAATTACGCTTTCTTACAGTAGCAACATCTACTAGGATTAGGAAGCAACCAAAAAGTACTCATAGACAAAACACAGGATAGCTGTAATAATTTTGGCTTTCCTTACATCAGCAAGAATTAAGTCTATCTGTATAAGACTTATTAGAAGCTGCTTAACGTAGTAATTAGTACAAGCAATTTGATGAGACACTAAAGAGTAGCTGCATCGATAATACTCATCAGAGCATGGTCTGTTAAAAAAGTAGTAGGTTACTGTATTCTGAAAGTAATATCTCTCTGTCATTGCATAAGTATTGCAAACATTAGACCTCTTCCTGATTGGAGTTTTAATCTCATTGGAATACGTTGATGCTGACATAATCTCAAAGATTTAACTTGATTTATCAAAGCCATCTTTGATAATGATCTAATATGACCTGGGACAAGTTTGCCAGCAATATTTTTGAACCAAACATAGATTGGTCGAGAACTGAGCTCTTACCAATCATTGGTAATAATCATTGAAGGGAAGAGTTTTTCTATGATTGTGAACAACAATCGACTTTAGGAAGCATTGGATATACATTTTTATCAGTACTACTCAATTTACTCTCAATGTAAGAACTCTCACTAGAGAGGCTTGCTTACATTATGAGGTTTTTCCCTTATCTTAGGCCTTAGGGACCATTTACCTTGCCTGAAGTGTCTGTTTTTTATGATTCATTCATTATTGAGCTTTAGTACCGTATAATGGTAGCCTTTGGGAATGAAATGAAGGACCGGAGGTATTAACAGCCAAGAAAATCCAAAATTTAGCTAGAAAAGGGTAAGACTTGGAGGGGATGATTTGACCATTATACACTTATTTTGATCATGAACTAGATTTTGATCCTCTAAGAAGAAGAAATACACAGACAAAATTTTGCACTTAAATACATGGCCACAGGAAACTTTGTATAGTTATATGTACTCGATAGGCAACAAAGAGCTCGTACATTTTAAAAACTCATCCTCCAGCATAAGACAAATCAGTTAAAAGAGTATACTGGAGATAAACTACCAACCAAGTTATATGAAAAGCGGGAAAGAGCACTTGCCTCAGGATCAGACACAGAAGCGGAAGGTACAGGACTGGCAACATGGAACACTCCAATACATCCTTTAATGGCAGCAGCAACCGAATCATAATCAAGTAAATACGCCTTAAAAAGCTTCAACTTCTCTGATGCCTTGTCCAGCTGTTTCAAATGCTCATATTTGGAATCACCTGCACAACAATAATCAACAAATAGTAGCCAATAAATATATACATCCTCTAATTTCCTAACCTTTTTTAATTTGGTATCTTAATCAACGATCATCTAAACATACTTGTATATATACCAAAAACTAAGCTGACGGTTGATGCCCAGAAATATGTTTTATACTCTATCACTATTACCGGTGGAAATTTTATAAAAATAGTTTAGTACTAACACAACAAAAAATGAGGATTCTTTCTAATTATACAATGAGATCCCCAAATTCCGTTAGAAAACGAACAAATAAAGAAGGTATGGAATATTTTGCGTATATTCTCTATCACATAAGACATCACCAACAAATTAAGAATCTTTAGATCCATATGATTCCAAAATCACGAAAAGATTGAATATCTTCAACCATTTGACAATTTACTTTATATTACAGCCTGGTCCTGGAAACCGAAAACATTAGTATAAAACAGGACAATTTTAATAAAATCTAGAAACATGTAGTAGTAAACTAATTAAAATTCAATCATCGGACAAAACTAGTAAGAGAACTTGACAAATTCTAGTACAATTACACAAGATCTGTAATCGAAATAATTGAAAACCATAGTAAATTAGATGCGATCTTCAGATAATACTAATAGAAAGAATTAATTGAGTAATTAGAAATATACATGGATCGGTGCGAACGGTGGCGTGAACAGAGTAACCGGAGGAGAGAAGAAGGTTGATAAGCCAAGAGGCTACGAAACCACTAGCGCCTGTAACGCACACTACTAATTTCTCTGTTCGTTCAAGTTGATTAGTTTTCTCCATTTTCGACGAAGAAGAACCAACTAAACTAACTGCTTCTATTTTCAGGGATTATTATTGTACTAAGTGTGTGAGGTTGACAAGTTGACCGCTGTAAACGTTGCCACGTGTGCTATGCTTTATCAACACACGCACTTTTCTCTCTCTCTTTTTTTTTTTTTTTTTTTTACTCGAGTGTTTGGGGCCTAAAATTAGATGGATTTTTTTTCCTAATTCTGGCCGACCTTGGTCTTTTTAAAATGGGAAAACTTTTTGTCAATAAGTCTTTTAAAAAACAAGAAATGGACCATGGGGTAGATTTTTTGTGGCAAAGGTGAAAAATGACCTTCTATACTTGCTCCAGACTTTAGTAATCCTCCGTTTCCTTTTATTTTTTACGTTCTTATTCTAGGTGTTCTTTTTTATTCTTTATATTTAGTATATTTCCTTTTTAAGTCATAAAGTTTGGACAAAATTGTCCTTGCTTTAAAATGTAAATACTCAACTAACCTTTAATTTTCTATGTGTAATTGTACTTTTTGTACTATTTGGTTGGTTTACTAATACTCATTATTACTTTCTCTCTCCTCTCTCTTCTAATTTCTTCAACCCACATGTACAATATTCTTTTTTAGATAGAATTGTACTTTTAATTATTGAATTATTCTAAAATACCTCTACTTTACATAATTTCTTAATAACCGCGCATAATTCTAAATGTCAAAAATAAATGGGAACGGAGGAAGTAGATTTTAATATTGCACTATAGAATGATGTTATGATTTATTTTCTAGCGGGAAAATGAAAAAGAGAGAAAGGAAACCTATAAATTGTCCATGTGATTGTAAGTATATATTTTAAAGAAACAAGTGTTACACACTAAAAGTATATTGGGTGTTTATAGTGTAAATAGATATAATTGTTATACTAGAGTAGTTATGGTGCAATCAATTTTGCATTCCCTCTAGGTTTTCTCCTTGAGAGGGTTTTTTTTGTTCCCTCTAAGTTTTCTCCTTGAGAGGGTTTTTTTTGTTCCCTCTAGGTTTTCTCCCTTAGGAGGGTTTTCCTTCTTCATTGCTAGTTTTTTTCAAATTTTTTTTGAAGGTTTTTTCTTCTCTTTTCTCTCTTCTCCCTTTTCTCTTCATCTTTATCATCTCTTTCCTCTAGGTCTCAATTGTGAATCTTTGTAGGGGCTTCCACTGGTGTTCTTACCGGTGGTAAGCCCCCAAAAAATTGCTTTTAATAAATAAATCTCATCCTTGAGGTGATGATTTTTCTCTTGAGTTTATTTTCTTTTTATGTTTGTATGGCAAAAATTGAAGATGTAGGGTTTCATAATCTCTACAAGAGTGCGGAGGACCACATGAGTATTTTCACTCAAACGACTACGCATTAGTGGATTTCAAGCCGAATCAGTGCGAACTCACAGATTGTATTTGTTTCGGGGTTTTCTGATGTCCTGCGGGAGAGTTACAATTCCGAGATTGGAACCGGACGCCTGTACCTGCAAAACAAACGGATGCTCCGGATGATTGGAGATCCGCCTCCGACGGTCAAGTTAGTACTTGATTAAGGAGTAATTAATGCGGAAATTAAAGTGATTGGGTCTCTCTAGGTGAGAGAGTTTAATGTGTGTAATCTGCGTAATCTCCCTTAATGAGGATTAAGGGAGGTATTTATAACCTCGGGAAACGTGCCAATCTAGGTTTAGGTTAACCTTGGGCTGATTGGGCTTCCCACGGAAGTTGGGCCTAGGTGACCGGTTATCCCAGGTGTCATGGGAAGGACACGTGTCGTGTCGTAATTGGTCCAGAGTGGACGGATCATTGCTTGACACGTGGCAGGCTCCTATTGGCCCATGTGACGGACACATGGCGGAACCTGATTGGTCCACTTGTCAGATGGTGATTGGTGGGGAAAAATCCCCTAATCATTTTCCCCTCACAGGTGGCACGTGACTGGTCACGTGTTACCTGTGACAGGTATCGCCCTGTAACAGGCGACGACCTGCTACAGGTGTCACTCGGCGAGAGGCCGAGAGATTCTCCCGCCAAAATTTTGAATTCTGGAAGTGACCCTTCGCCTTCTCACTTCGCCTATATAAAGGAGTGTTGACTTCGGTCATTTTCACACTTGAAAACTTTGTGAGAGAACATTCGGACCCCTGAACTTGCTCTGACATTTTGGACCCTTTCTGCCTACCGCCTGCTCTGACAAGCCGACTGCAAAGGATTTTCAGAACTTCATCAATCGTCACTCGTTCAGGTAACCGTCGGTTCTCTTACTCTTAATTTCCTCTTTACTTTATTCTTTTTTGAAATGGCACCACGGAAGCACACGACACGACCTAGGTTAGTGATCAGCCGGTCACCGGGGACGGCTGAATCTAGGACTAGGAGTGTCGCCTGCCCTTTTCTGGACCCATCTTTGCCCTTTATACAAAGTCCGACTGTATCTGTGTCTATGCAGAGCATGATGGCCAGAACAAAAAAGACTGCCAGGATCTCAAACTCAGACGGCTCCTCCCACAGGGTGCCGATTAGTGAAACATCTGACCAGGCGCCAGATGTGGAAGTGAAACAAAGCGGCTTGAAAGCCGGCAGTTCTGAGGGAGGAGTCAAAGTGACCCCTTCCCATTTTACAGTTGACAATTCTACATTCTCTCCTGCTCCTTTTAAAGGAGAGGAGGCGGGCCCCTCCGGGAGAGGGGAGGAGTCGTCCTCTTCGGACTCGTCAGAGGAAGATTCCGAGTCTAGCTCTTCTGGCCATGCTTCTCTGGACACAGAAGAGAAAAACAGTCGCCTGCAAGAGGCAAGGCTTTCTCACGCAGTTGAGAAGGGGGACGATTGGGCGGAGCCATCCGCCTCTCACCGAGAGCAAAATACCCCTACTACTGCACGGTACCTCGGGGCCGGATCACAGCCATGCAAGAGAAAGTGGAGAGCTTTATCGCAAACCACACAATGGGCCCCGGCTTTTTAGTGTTCGTGCTGGATCCAGAAAACACAGTCGTCTGGCCGGCTGGTACCAGTTATGATGGCGCCTGCTTTGGCTGCTACGAGGCGGCCATCAAGGCTGGGCTGCGCTTCCCACTACATCCGGCTGTTCAGCGGATCTTGGATGGGTATGAGTTGGGGTTATGGCAGTTAGCCCCGAACTCCTGGGTCAACGTACTCGGCTATGTGGCCGGGTGCGAACTGCACGGGGTGGAGCCGAACTTCGAGGCTTTCGCCCACATGAACTACCTCAGCCGGACCCCTAAGGAAGGCGGTACCGGCTGGTATCAATTAACGAGCCACAGGGGCTACCTCATGACGAGAGGTAAAGCAAACAAATGGAAGGACTGGAGGAGCACCTTCCTTATCATTGAGAGTTCAGACACAGAGCTGAACAAGCGCTTCAACAGGTGGAACAGGAATCCGCCCCTTCTTGCAGGCGGCCGCAGCATGCCGCCTGTTCCCCCCAAGGCTAAGAAAGAGATCCTAGATAAAGGACTCTTCAAAGTAGAGTCAAAGGTGAACTCTACTTCAGGGGTACGAGAGCAAGTACCCCTGCACTGCGTCCCGAGCTTCAAATGGCTCTACGACGAGTACTTTTTGGCCGCTTGTGGCCTCAGCAGTCGGTGCTCAAGAGGTAGCCGGCCTGTCGAATACTCTGTTGTTCCATGCATTTCTTGTTATGACTTTTATTAACTTTGCTATTTGTTTTTGCAGCGGACGCCATGAGCAAAATTACCGCCTCCAAGACTGCGGCGACCATGTTGCGGGCCTCCATCATGCAACAGTCTTCAACCGACTCCCCCAACAAGGGGGCACCCTTGGTGGGCTTCGAACCTTTCACCCTCTTTGTGGAGTTGTGTTTATGCATATACTGACTCTTTTCTTCTTTTTTAGACGGGCGCTCCAAGAGCTTCTTCTTCCCAACAGCCGGACCCCAAGGCCCGGAGGACGACTGTTGCGAGCTCTCCTGGTTCTGCCAGGAAACATGTGGCGGCTGAGAAACAGCTGGCCACTTCTTGTAAAACTCTAGCTGGGCCACCTAGAAGTATGAAATTATCCTTGTAAATTTTAGACTTGCTCCCTTCTTTACTAGGTCTAATCCGTTTGTTTATGCTTGATGCAGCCGGCCCTCAGGAGCCTGACTTGGTCGAGGTGGCCAAGTCTATGATCAAGGCCGTTCCTCCAGCTGAAAGGGAGGCGGTCAAGGGTGTCGGCACCCTTGACCTAGACGGGATTGCAGGGGTCCTTGCTGAGGTATACTTAGCATATTTTTGAGTATTTGAATTCCAGGACGCCTGTTTTCTTTTTTGTTTGGAAACTGACGCCTGTTCCCCTTTTTACTTAGGCCCTGCTCCGAGTGAACGGCCTTCGCAAGCCGCTTGACCGGAAGAACAAAGAGGTAAAGGCTGCAAAAGCTATGGCCGCCTCTGACTGTGATAAGCCAATGTTTCAAATTGCCCAAAATGAAGTTCTGACCATTGATATTCTTTATTATCAGGCGCAGGCTACCGCCGCTATCCGGGCTCAGTTAGAGGCGGCCCAGAAGAGGAATAGCGAGCTGGAGGCGACCATCAACAACCTCAAGGCCGAGCTGAGACCTCTTCGCCAAAAGATGTCCTCATACGAAACCTTGGAGAAATCCTTAGCGAGCGTAAAGGTACGCCTGGTGACCCAGGAGAAGAGTCTTACTCAGGAGCTCTCGGAAAAGGCCGAGCAAGAAAAGAAAGAGCTGGTCCGGGAGATGATGGAAGACTCTGCTCAAATCCAGCGCATGACTTGGGGTCGCCTCTTCCCCAATGCCGACTTTGCCTCATGGGAAAAAACGTACCGCCAGTGTTCTGATAGATATAATCAAGAGATCCTGGCGGCTGCTGAGGAAGAGGCGTTGGAGGAGGAGGAGCAGCCGGTAGTGGCGCTTGTGCCGCTTGGGGGTAATGCATCAAAGAAGGATGCAGCTGAAGCCGAGTCCAGCAAGAAGAGTGCTGACCAGGCGGCAGCTGCTAATATTGAAGATCTGCCCCTTCTTAAGCTTTATGTCTTCTTTCCACGGCCTGCGTGCCGTTTGTTTGTATTTACCCGGCCAGGGGGCCGGGGCTCTGAATATTTTGCCGGTCTTTAATGACCGGCTTCCTTTTAATGAATTTTTTTTTGTTTTGCTTCAAAT